CACAAGGAAACAAAGCACCAGCTTTAACTGTTTGGTGCGATAAATTAGCACAGACAATGTATTGTTTCGTTACTTACTACGGTGTTAGAGTATTGCTTTCATAATTTCCGAAACGTTCGTGTCTTTTGTTTCTGTTTTCGTCTTTATCTGTTTGTTTATTAATGATTTTAAGCTGAATTATGGTTTGTGTTGTTTTTCACACAGGAAAGCAGAATGTGAAACCTAAATGGGTTGATTTTCAGAATCGTTCGGCATCCTCTGTGCTTCACTGATTTACATTAAAAAAAGAATATTTGTAAATGACAGTGGCAAAATATATATAAAAAAATGACAAACATGTGGTTATTTGTTTTTATAATGCATAGTTAGCATACAAAAAAACAAAATCTCGATTACCAGTGACACCCAACGATAAGAGTTTTACCCGATACCAATGACAATCGGCGATCAGAGTGTTACCCGATACCAAGTGACAATCGGCGATCAGAGTGTTACCCGATACCAAGTGACAATCGGCGATCAGAGTGTTACCCGATAACCAGTGACGCCTGACGATAACCAGTGACGTCTGACGATCAGAGTGTTACCCGATAACCAGTGACGCCTGACGATCAAATTGTTACCCGATAACCAGTTACGCCTGACGATCAGATGGCTACCCGATAACTAGTGGCTCCTGACGATCAGAGTTTTACCCGAAAACTAGTGACGCCTTACGATCAGATTGTTACCCGATAACTAGTGACTCCTGACGATCAGATGGTTACCCGATAACTAGTGACGCTTTACGATCAGATTGTTACCCGATAACTAGTGACGCCTGACGATCAGATTGTTACCCGATAACCAGTGACTCCTGACGATCAGATTGTTACACGATAACTAGTGACGCCTGACGATCAGATTGTTACCCGATAACTAGGGACGCCTTACGATCAGATTGTTACCCGATACCTAGTGACGCCTGACGATCAGATTGTTACCCGATAACCAGTGACGCCTGACGATCAAAGTGTTACCCGATAACCAGTGACAACTGACGACCAGAGTGTTACCCGATAACTAGTGACGCCTTACGATCAGATTGTTACCCGATAACTAGTGACACCCGACGATCAGAGTTTTACCCGATAACTAGTGACGCCTGACGATCAGATTGTTAGCCGATAACTAGGGACGCCTGACGATCAGATTGTTACCCGATTACCAGTGACGCCTGACGATCAGAGTGTTACCCGATAACTAGTGACGCCTTACGATCAGATTGTTACCCGATAACTAGGGACGCCTGACGATCAGATTGTTACCCGATTACCAGTGACGCCTGACGATCAGAGTGTTACCCGATAACCAGTGACGCCTGACGATCATATATATAGTTGCCAGATAACCAGTGACACCCGACGATCAGAGTGTTACCCAATAACCAGTGACACCCGACGATCAGAGTGTTACCCGATAACCAGTGACGCCTGACGATCATATATATAGTTGCCCGATAACCAGTGACACCCGACGATCAGAGTGTTACCCGATAACCAGTGACACCTGACGACCAGAGTGTTACCCAATAACCAGTGACACCTGACGACCAGAATTTTATCGATAATACCTAACCGTCACCAAAGGAAGCAAGGACTTACACCTTTCAGGTTAGATAGAAATTTTGCGGGTGGGGGATTCTTGTGTATGTACTTAAAAGTCTTAAGGTAAAACGTTTATTTGATCTAGAATATCCCAGTTATGAAGTACCATGGATCAGTGTCAAGCTACCTCAGTCCAGTATTTTGATTTGTACAATATATAGACCGGACCACGCCGTAAGCCCCTTCTGGGATAACTTACGTGAATCTATAGATCGAGCTTTAGATATGTCTCCAAATCTATTAATAAATGGTGACTTAAATGTAGATATGCTCAGAATTACCCCAATGTATATTTTGTCTGACATAATTTCGACATACACTTTTACAAATGTTATTTCAGAACCAACTAGATTTGGCCCAGGTAGACAAAGCCTTCTTGATCCGATCCTTTTATCTGACTCTTTAAATAGCATTGATGCATCTGTAGTAAATATAGACAGAAATATAAGTGATCATGGCGGTAGTCTTGTTTATATTGAAATACCTTTTAATACGAAACCTGTTTTTAAGAGACACGCTTGGCTTTCAAACACGCCGATTTTAATAAATTTAACCAACTTATATCAAATCATGATTGGGAGGGTGATTTTTTAATGTGTGATTCAATTGATGCAGCAAGTGAAAGTTTTACAAAAACATTTTTAGATTTTGAAAATACCTGTATTCCTTCTAAATAAGTAACTGGGAGACCAACCGAAAAGCCTTGGATGACGTCGGAATTACGTAAAAACGTTAGAATAAGAGACCGTTTACATAAAAAAGCTAGATTAACAAACATTTTTGAAGATATTAAAATGTTCAAAACACAGAGGAATAAAGTTAATAATATGAAAAAGCATGCTTTTTTAAAATTTAGTGTTCATGGAATTATTGAGCAATACTCTTCGACTGATGCAAGGTTGTACTGGAGACTTGTTAAACGACTTATGAAATCTGCTGGCTCGTCTCATTCTATTCCTTCGTTAGTTGACCCCTTATCACATAAAGTTATTATTGAAAATACTGAGAAAGCAGATTTATTAAATAAGTATTTCTGTTCAATTACTGAAGTTGACGATAGCAATACCGAAGTTTCCATTATTTCTAACAGGACTGAGAGTGTGTGTGATAATATTAGAATTGACGCCTTAGAAGTCAGTGACATCCTACAGATTTTGAAACTAGGAAAAGCTTCTGGTTGCGACGACAGCATTCATCATATGTTACAATACACATCTCATACTGTTTGTAAACCATCAACGTTATTGTTTAATATGGCGATATGTTATACACCTTTTCAAAAAGGGTGATAGGCATTATCCATCCAATTAACGACCGATATCGTTATTATCTTCTGTAGGCAAAGTATTTGAGAGGGTTATTTTTAAACACGTTCATAATTATTTTATGAGGAATTCTCTCTTCTATGAACACCAGTCTGGCTTTATGCCAGATCATTCTACTGTTTATCAATTAATTGAAATTTATCACAATATTTGCAGCGCACTTGAGAAAAAAGAACATACATGTTTAATATTCTGTGACATATCAAAAGCTTTTGATAGGGTTTGGCACTTGGGGCTATTGGCAAAATTGAAATCTTATGGAATTACTGGAAATCTTTTGGGATGGTTTAAAGATTATCTCTGTCATAGAAACCAGAGAGTTTTCATTGCTGACTCACTTTCGTCCATTGGTTTTATCAAAGCAGGAGTACCGCAGGGTTCCATTCTTGGCCCTTTACTTTTTTTAATATATATAAATGATATTGCTGAAGTATTACGTTCTACACCTCGTCTTTTTGCTGACGATACCACTATTTTTAAATCCTCCACACTTTGTGTTTATATTGAAACAGAGTTGAATCAAGAATTACTGTCGCTCGATTCCTGGACAAAGCGGTGGCTAGTAAATTTTAACCCTGGTAAAACAGAGGTTTTGTTTGTAACTAATTCTGTAAATCTAAGTGGTCAACTTGATCTTATCTTTGGTGGTTGATTTTAAAATTTTACTGAAACGCATAAACACTTGTGTGTTGTTTTCAATTTAAGTGGGAAACGGTCATGTCAATTATGTTTATAATTCTGAAATGAAAAAGATAAATGTACTCAGGAAGTTAAAAATACTTTGTCGAAAATGTATACCACTTTTATTTTACCGGTGTCTGAGTACGCCTGTGAATTGTGGGATGGATGTACTCTTAACGAATCGGAATTACTTGAAAAGGCTCAAAGCGAAGCATTACGTATCATTACTGGTCCTCCGTCATATGTAAACAACACTGCTTTATACATTGAAACAGGGTTGGCAAAGCTACCAGACCGAAGAAAAAAGAGAAAACTGCAGTTGTTATTTAAGATGAAAAACAGTATTACTCCTTATTTTCTTAACGATCTCTTACTACCTACGGTTGCTTTTAACAATCCCTATCCACTTAGAAACAGAGATGATTTTATCGTTCCAATCATATACTTTCTTGTACACGCTCTTCTTTGTTACCGTCAACATTACTTTCTTGGAACGGGTTAGACGTGGAAACAAGATCTTCTCCTTCGCTTTTTACTTTTAAATCCGCTATTTCACATCAAGTTAATCAAAAAGCACCATCCTTCTACAGTTTTGGAGAAAGAAAATTTAATATATTGCATGCAAAGTTGAGGCACAAATGTAGTCGGTTAAATTATAACCCTTTCAGTGTATTTGTGGAAACCCTTGTGAGAATGCCTCCCACTTCTTTTCCATATGTCCTCGTTATAATATACAAAGACGTACTCTTCCTTCAAATATAGATGATTTAAATCTAGATGTTGTCATTGATATAAATTTACTGCTCATAGGAAATGAAAATCTGTCGGAAAAGTAAACACTTCAATTTTTAGAAATGTGCAAAAGTATATAAAATCCAGCCAAAGTTTTAGTTAATGGGATATGACATTAACTCATCATATTTATATCTGTTGTATTATTTCATTTATTGTATGACAAAATGGTATTCATTGTGATCAAATTATGCTATTTCTCAATTTATGTAAGATTTATTGTGGAGAGGGCATTTGTAATGTTGATATAACTTGTGCCTAATCCGTTTGCTTATTTTATGCAATAAAATATGTTTAAATCAAGCAAGGACTTTCTCCTACATTTATATATAACAAATACCCGAGCAACATAATAATATGATCCAGATTGAAGTCCTGTAACAATTTACTGTAAGTATCAACAAAACGTGTGATGTAGTGGTTTGAAGTCATATCAAAAAGTCTAACACAAATGTAGTACGAAGGGAGTCTAGTACAAACTCCCTATCACAACATTTTTTTACTCAGTAAAACCCCGACAATAAGCCACAAGGAAGTGGTCATGTCCTTGACATAGTTACATAATTCCATCACGGAGACGCTGTTCTCTTAGTATTTTCCTAAAAAACGTGCTTGCACTGATAAATAGATTTTCACAAAGTGACTTTTTGATGACAAATGATTTGTTCCACTTACTGCCTTCAAATGATAGTTCCGTTATGTTCTTGTCGCCAGATTGAGCAGACAAACAGAAATTTTCAAATTTTATTCTTGTTTTTCTGAAATAAGCCAGCTCCTCATAAAAATCAGGAAGTTGCCGTTTCAGATTTTTTTTCATTTTTTCAAGAAAAAGGTCATATAGTGCATAATCTAGGTAGGACCTGTTTTTAAACAGTTGTTCCTCTGTTGATCCAAACTGCAGCCGGGGATCTTCTTCCTTGTTAACATGTATTTTACCATATAACATATATCTGAGATCCCAGTTCAGGAGTCGTCGCATCAGCACAATAGATTCATCAAAATGTTCTACTACTAACATGATATCCATCTCTTTATCAAGTTTGCGTAAATACATCTGTAGCCCTTTTCGATCCATGTTCAAAAATAATTCCCCAGGAAATCCAAACTCAATCGCCATCATATTAAACTCGTGATCAATCTTTTTTGTTCGGATATGAATGGAGCCATGGTATTTTATATGATGTTCTGAATGAGACAAATAATCCAAAACAGGGTGGTTTCCAGGTATATTCAGCACATTTTTTGGACGAAAATATCTTATAAAGGATCGAAAATGGCTGTACGGCTCTCTCACGACACCTATATACACTGTATCGTTAGGTAGCACTGTACTAAATTCTTCTCTGTTGTATCCGGCATGTGCACAAGCAATGTCATAAATTTTATTGTTTGGTGGTGGAAAGAAGTAGCGTGGTGTCAAAGAAGGGCCATCCCCGCCTTTGCCTCTTGGCTGAGCAAACACGAGATTATTTTCATAGCCGTAGCGCTGAAATATATTTGCAATGGTTGTACTTGCGGCCTTGTGTATCTTGACGAAAGCTATGTGATTGACAGGATCGCCTTTTTGAATATACTGGTCTTGGTTGGAGGATTGTTTTCTGTTGGTGTCATGTGATGAGTGTCCTTGATGGTAGATAAGCAGGCCCTGGTTTGCTGTCCACGCGCGTATTGGTTTTGATCCAGCCATAAGGTTGATATAACTCCTAAAACCGTACAAAACCAGCACTACACACAATCCGACCATACAACACCTGGAAAAAGGACATTCTTCTGTGAATACGATTTGGATTTTGTTCAGTATTTTGTATGAATCGTAAGTATAGAATGATACATCAAACAGTATCCAAACGTTGTGGTGACACATTTGTTCTATTGAAAACGTATCTTATATGTTTTGAACACAAGCATAGTACTACAATGTTTCATTGTTAGAGCCTCGATGACAATGATAAAAATTGCCCTCAATGCTTTTGATTAAATTTATTCCACATTAGATTTCGTGTTTGCACCCATGTAGGTCCAATTACACAAGGGAAAATGTGTTACAATTCACTTTTTTGTTTAAAGGGCTCACACAACTAAATCATTTACTATATGTTATTACTAAGCTTATGAGCTAACAGCGTTAATATTTGAAGTTCAACACTAGTGACAACTGTCTAGATTCACAGATACATATCTGACAAAGGATTCAAAAGGCATTTTCTATGAGTTTGGTGGCATATAAGAGCGCTACAGGCGTCTGCTTTTGACAACCGGAAGTTAACAAGCTAAACCGGTGAAATGGGACGGGAACCACCCCTGACATTTTACCCCATATCAATCCGCCATCACATTTTAAAATCTACTAAAACTATGCATTTTTCTAAAGTTCAATGTCTGTAGATTTCATTCAATGTAAAATATGTCAACAGTTACCTATTTAAATTACTCAGGGGCACTGTATTAACCCGGAATAAAGTTTAGATAGGGATTACAATCTGATGAAACACCTTGCTGATTGACTGATTTAGTTGTGCGAGTCCTTAACAGTTGTGTATGTATAGAACTTTTCGCAATGATGCACTACGTTCATAATCACTTTAGAAAAGTGATTTGGAAACAAACAAAGTATAAATGTGTTGGTCGTTGTTATCTAATGCCTAAAACGTGCAAAATAAGAACAAAAGACAGATTTATATGGAGGTCATAAAAATACAAAATAAAGCCAAACGTCCTGGAAGGGTAAATGTCTTCTGCTTCATTGTCAATCCCAAGCACGTCCATCGACGGCAAATTAAAGTAATTTCAAGCCCTCAAAGCAGGAATCGGGGAAGAGGTAACGAAACAACAAATCAAAATTAATGAGAATATTAATAATTTTAAGTCGACCTTTATATCACGCAAGGAAATAAAATATTCCCCAAAGGGATCATGATGGCGACCATTAAACTTCTTCATCTACCGGATCTACCGGATCTACCGGAAACATCTCTGAGGAAGTTTGTCCGACAGCAGTCGACATATATCACGGAATCTAAGATATTCGAAACAAGCTCTTGAATACTCTTTCAAACCACGTCAGTTAGGGAAGTAGAGATGTATCAAAGGATAGTGGTCAGGATATTTCATGCTTAGAAGAGTGTTAGGGTATATACGATGGCCGTGGTCAGGCCATTTCATGCTTAGGAGAGTGTGAGGGTATATACGATGGCCGTGGTCAGGACATTTCATGCTGAGGAGAGTGTGAGGGTATATACGATGGCCGTGGTCATGATAGTTAATGCTTAGAAGAGTGTGAGGGTATATACGATGGCCGTGGTCAGGACATTTCATGCTGAGGAGAGTGTGAGGTTATATACGATGGCCGTGGTCATGATAGTTAATGCTTAGGAGAGTGTGAGGGTATATACGATGGCCGTGGTCATGATAGTTAATGCTTAGGAGAGTGTGAGGGTATATACGATGGCTGTGGTCAGGATAGTTCATGCTTAGGGGAGTGTGAGGGTATATACGATGGCCATGGTCAGGATATTTTATGATTAGGGGAGTGTGAGGTTATTTACGATCGCCGTGGTCTGGATAGTTCATGATTAGGAGAGTGTGAGCGTATATACGATTGCCGTGGTCAGAATATTTCATGATTAGGGGAGTGTGAGGGTATATACGATGGCCGTGGTCATGATAGTTCATGATTAGGAGAGTGTGAGGGTATATACGATGGGTGTGGTCAGGATAGTTCCTGCTTAGGAGAGTGTGAGCGTATATACGCTGGCTGTGTTCAGGATAATTCATGATAAGGAGAGTGTGAGGGTATATACGATGGGCGTTGGCAGGATAGTTCCTGCTTAGGAGAATGTGAGGGTATATACGAAGGCTGTGGTCAGGATAGTTCATGATTAGGAGAGTGTGAGGGGATATACGATGGCTGTGGTCAGGATAGTTCATGATTAGGGGAGTGTGAGGGTATATACGATGGGTGTGGGCAGGATAGTGCCTGCTTAGGAGAGTGTGAGGGTAAACACGCTGGCTGTGTTCAGGATAATTCATGATAAGGAGAGTGTGAGGGTATATACGATGGGTGTGGTCAGGATAGTTCCTGTTTAGGAGAGTGTGAGCGTATATACGCTGGCTGTGTTCAGGATAATTCATGATAAGGAGAGTGTGAGGGTATATACGATGGGCGTTGGCAGGATAGTTCCTGCTTAGGAGAATGTGAGGGTATATACGATGGCTGTGGTCAGAATATTTCATGATTAGGGGAGTGTCAGGGTATATACGATGGGTGTGGGCAGGATAGTTCCTGCTTAGGAGAATGTGAGGGCATATACGATGGCTGTGGTCAGAATATTTCATGATTAGGGGAGTGTGAGGGTATATACGATGGCTGTGGTCAGGATAGTTCATGATTAGGAGAATGTGAGGGTATATACGAAGGCTGTGGTCAGAATATTTCATGATTAGGGGAGTGTGAGGGTATATACGATGGCTGTGGTCAGGATCGTTCATGATTAGGAGAGTGTGAGGGTATATACGCTGGCTGTGGTCAGGATAGTTCATGCCTAGCGGATTGTGAGGGTATATACGATGGCTGTGGTCATGATAGTTCATGATTACGGGAGTGTGAGGGTATATACGATGGCTGTGGTCATGATAGTTCATGATTAGGAAAGTTTGAGGGCATATACGATGGCTCTGGTCAGGATAGTTCGTGCTTAGGGGATTGTGAGGGTATATACGAAGGCTGTGGTCAGGATAGTTCATGATTAGGAGAGTGGGAGGGTTTATACGATGGCTGTGGTCAGAATATTTCATGATTAGGGGAGTGTGAGGGTATATACGATGGGTGTGGTCAGGATAGTTCCTGCTTAGGAGAATGTGAGGGTATATACGATGACTGTGGTCAGAATATTTCATGATTAGGGGAGTGTGAGGGTATATACGATGGGTGTGGGCAGGATAGTTCCTGCTTAGGAGAATGTGAGGGCATATACGATGACTGTGGTCAGAATATTTCATGATTAGGGGAGTGTGAGGGTATATACGATGGGTGTGGGCAGGATAGTTCCTGCTTAGGAGAATGTGAGGGTATATACGATGACTGTGGTCATGATAGTTCATGATTACGGGAGTGTGAGGGTATATACGATGTCTGTGGTCATGATAGTTCATGATTAGGAGAGTGTGAGGGTATATACGCTGCCTGTGGTCAGGATATTTCATGATTAGGAGAATGTGAGGGTTTATACGCTGGCTGTGGTCAGGATAGTTCATGATTAGGGGAATGTGAGGGTATATACGAAGGCTGTGGTCAGGATAGTTCATGATTAGGGGAGTCTGAGGGTATATACGATGGCTGTGGTCAGGATAGTTCATGATTAGGAGAGTGTGAGGGTATATACGCTGGCTGTGGTCAGGATAGTTCATGCCTAGGAGAGTGTGAGGGTATATACGATGGCTGTGGTCAGGATAGTTCATGATTAGGGGAGTGTGAGGGTATATACGATGGCTCTGGTCAGGATAGTTCATGCTTAGGGGATTGTGAGGGTATATACGATGGCTGTGGTCAGGATAGTTCATGATTAGGAGAGTGTGAGGGTATATACGCTGGCTGTGGTCAGGATAGTTCATGCCTAGGAGAGTGTGAGGGTATATACGATGGCTGTGGTCAGGATAGTTCATGATTAGGAGAGTGTGAGGGTATATACGCTGGCTGTGGTCAGGATAGTTCATGATTAGGAGAATGTGAGGGTATATACGCTGGCTGTGGTCAGGATAGTTCATGATTAGGAGAGTGTGAGGGTATATACGCTGGATGTGGTCAGGATAGTTCATGATTAGGAGAGTGTGAGGGTATATACGCTGGCTGTGGTCAGGATATTTCATGATTAGGAGAATGTGAGGGTTTATACGCTGGCTGTGGTCAGGATAGTTCATGATTAGGAGAGTGTGAGGGTATATACGCTGGATGTGGTCAGGATAGTTCATGATTAGGAGAATGTGAGGGTATATACGCTGGCTGTGGTCAGGATAGTTCATGATTAGGAGAGTGTGAGGGTATATACGCTGGCTGTGGTCAGGATAGTTCATGATTAGGAGAGTGTGAGGGTATATACGCTGGCTGTGGTCAGGATAGTTCATGATTAGGAGAGTGTGAGGGTATATACGCTGGCTGTGGTCAGGATAGTTCATGATTAGGAGAGTGTGAGGGTATATACGCTGGCTGTGGTCAGGATAGTTCATGATTAGGAGAGTGTGAGGGTATATACGCTGGCTGTGGTCAGGATAGTTCATGATTAGGAGAGTGTGAGGGTATATACGCTGGCTGTGGTCAGGATAGTTCATGATTAGGAGAGTGTGAGGGTATATACGCTGGCTGTGGTCAGGATAGTTCATGATTAGGAGAGTGTGAGGGTATATACGCTGGCTGTGGTCCCGATAGTTCATGCTTAGGTGATTGTGAGGGTTTATACATTGTACGATGGCTGTGGTCAGGATATTTCATTCTTATGAAAGTGTGAAGGTATATACGATGATTTGTTCTTGATTTTATGATAAGGAGAATGTGAGGGTTTATACGCTGGCTGTGGTCAGGATACTTCATGATTAGGAGATTGTGAGGGTATATACGATGGCGGTGGTCAGGATAGTTCATGATTAGGAAAGTGTGAGGGTAGATACGATGATTTGTTCTTGATTTCATGATTA